CCCCAAAACCCCAAAACCCCAAAACCCCGCTAAGAAAGATTTGAATTAAGGGAGATGGGATCTATAAAATCTATATTTAAGATATCAATCAGTTTAAATCATATAACTTTATTTTATTCAGATGGAGATCCAATCAACCCAAGATACCCTCATTGACTCACCAAAGCACATGAACCATTACATTTACTTTGCGTCACCTCTCTTTAACACTAAGGAGTGTTTATTCAATGTATCAATCGCTTCAAAGTTAGAGTCTAAAGGACACAAAGTTTATTTACCACAAAGAGATGGGTTTGAGTTTTCGTAACTCACTCAGATGCTGCCTGATCATTTCTCAGAAGAGGAAAAAAGCAAAGCTGTAGCTTGGATCATATACTTAGCAGACCTTTCAAAGCTTTCTTAGGGAACCGTGTGCTTGGCAAACTTAGATGAGCCTCTTGACCCAGGCGTTTTGATTGAAATAATGTATGCCAAGCAACTCGGCATTCCCACTATTGGATATAGATGTGACAGCAGAACTCCGTTTGGTGCATCATCAAGCTGGAACTTTGGAATGCATTTCTTCCCATTGTTCCAATGTGACTACTTCATCTCACTTAGCAATGTTAATACAGGGTCTGTTGACGATTCTGAGAAACTAATTACAGATCTTGTCGGCAAGATAGAAGAGATCTAAAATGATCTACATCCTAAAGTTACAATTTAAAAATTCGACGATATCAGAATGATGGCAGCTAAACTTATACCATAAGATGTGAATAAACTCAGTGAGTTACCACTAGATAGATTAGTCAACTAATATGTGGAGATGAAATCAAAGCTAGAATCAATGGAACCTCAAATAATCAAGATGCACGAAACACACCATTGAGGGAAAAAACACAAAATATACTAGTAGTCTTAATAAAAATTGGCGCTTGTAGCTGATTTAAAATCTAGGCATGCTTAGAGTGATATATCAAAGGAATATATCTAATATCAATAATTCTTAAACTTAAACATACTCTCAATATTTTAAGCAAATAATATACTAAATTATTAATCATTTCTAACTTTTTCTCATCAAATTTTCAATTTCAGTTAACATCATTAGGAAATTTTAGAATCCATTATAACTTTATAAGGGTTCATGATACCACATGGATCAAATATATCCTTAATATGCTACATGTATTCAATCATCTCTGGAGTCTTAGAGTATGATAAGTACTTTGCTTTTTGAAGACCAATTCCATGTTCAGCACTTACACTTCCCCTCACATTCTTAACATAATCAAATACAAAAGGATCAACCACAGCATTCAGTTTATCTTAAAGGGAAGAACTATCATAACCTGGTATCGCTACATTTAAATGTAGGTTTCCATCTCCAATATGACCGTACCCTGTTACTTTAATTAGTTATTTCTCTGTGTCAGTGAATTCGTGAGAGCTTAAGATAAGAAGTCTGACCTCTTCAACAATTTTATAATAGTGAGCTGTGCTTAATGAAATGTCATACTTTAATGTCTATAATAATTAAACAAAAGTAAAGAATGTATACATATCCATATTTAATCATAGCAGATGCTATCTCCTCTCTGATTTTCCAAATGAACTAGCTTTATTTTTCATCCTAAGCCACAACGCCATCCTAAAACCAAATTATATCGAAATGAAATGTTTACAGCCACTATATTTTCGGTATCTCCTAACAGGCTAAAGAGTCTCTCTGAATCTGATTTGCCTTCATTGTTACTTGCAACTTCAATCAATGCATAGAATGGGTACTCCTTATTCAATGGATTTTTAAAGCCAAGCATATGATTGACAGCTTCCATTGAAATTTGATCCATAAATTCAGCTGCCTAAAGAATGTCACTTAACTATAGTTTAGCTTTCTTCAACAATTCCAAAACATCTTCAAATTTTCTGCATGAAACAAGTGCCAAGTGCTTGTATTTTGGAAGTGTTGGACAGAGAATAGCAGATTTAGTAATTACTCCCTAAAATCATATTATTCATATTAATCTTTAAATTTACCAGAGTTCCTTCAGCTCCAATAAATAAGTGCTTTAAATCATAGCCAGTGTTATCTTTTCTCAGGTTTGTAATGTTATCCAGGATAGTTCCATTTGCTAGGACTACTTATAGTCCAACACAATTAGCATGGAGAGAATTATATCTTATGAAATGAATTCCTCCAGCGTTTGTAGCAAGATTTCCACCTATTTAGCATGATCCCTTAGCTCCAAGATCTAATGGCATCAAATAACCTTTATCATGAAGGAAACTATGAAGATCCTAGAGAATACACCCTGCTTCAGCAGTCACTATGCCATAACTTTCATCAAACTCTAATATCTTATTCATTCTGCTAAGATTTACTATGATCTCATCAAATACAGGTTGAGAGCCTCCAACTAAACCAGTGTTTCCACCTTATGGCACAACTGCTAATCTTCTTTCATTACAATAACTTAATACCTAAGATACTTCCTCAGGAGTTTTTGGTTTTAACAAAAGCTTAGAGTGGCCTTAATATTTATGAGTCCAATCATTGTTGTGATTATGCAAGACTTACTCGTTTGTGACCACGCCTTATTTATCAAGAATACTCTCAAAATGAGCTAGATCCTAAAATAATCAATCTTATTCAAACTACATACTTTATCATTTAATACAGCAAATTAGGAGTTCCTGGTGATGTCAAGATGAATTTTCCTTTGATTTATAGTAAGTATTTGTCTTGAGTTTTTCTAAAGATGCTTAATTGATTTGGCTATAAAATTTTTCATTTTTAAAAAGTTTTAATAAATTAATGATGAGATCATTTATAAATGACGTTTGCATCTTGGGGTTTTATACTAGAATTGAGAAGTGAA